GTGTTGGTTTGTTTTTGTGCAGCAGAAAAATTGATCCTTGCTGTGCGATAAAGCGACACCTCTGATCAATGGGGATCTCTAGAAATAGTCTGCTCCCTAAAAGGAGAGGGGGGCCGCCTCGGTGTCGTCAGATCCGCTTTTATCCCGGGCTTGCCCTGCTGTGTGTGTTTGGTCCATTAATGATCGACCTACATGTATTAAGTGACTGTGTGTCTAAAAGGGTCTATTAGGGCTGTGTTAGGACAGTTGATGTGTGTTTAATGCTCACAGTTCGTCATTCGTTCTGGTGTGTGTGATTCGCAGTGGGTCGGCGCTGTGTCTGTGTTGAAAGAATGCGCCAGGATGAGACCAGACGACCCCTCGCTGCCCATGCTGGCTGCTAAGATCTGCATCGGTCAACTGCACTGGGTGAATGCATCCCAACACCTGCATGTTAACACCTGAAACGAAAAGCGTTCAGAAAGCACTGAGATTCACTGCAAAAACACAAAATCTTGCCAAGTTTCTCTGGCCTGGTTTCTACTGCAAATATCTTAGTTCACCTGAAATAAAACAAAACTAACCTATAAGTAACTTTTCAGCAAGATATAGGAGCTTGTTTTAAGTAAGTAAATTCTTAATATTGATGAAAAAGTCCTAGTTCCACTGACTATTTCATTTATGGTCTTATTATAAGTGAAATAATGTGCCAATGGAAGTGGCACTTCTTTCCCAATTTCAAGGAATTATCGACTTGCAACAAGCTCCTGTATCTTGCTGAAAAGTTACTTGTAAGTTACTTTTTATGCATCCTTTGCAGGGTTTCCCCCAGAAAACTAGCTAAGCCTGGTGCTAAGGAAGTCCAGTTGCCCTTCTGTGTTTTTGTGTAAAAAAAAAAGTTAACATAAAACATCAACAACAAAGAAAATATAACCGTGCTTTAAATAAAACTGGTATTTCTGTAGGTTTTGTATGTGGAATCAAATGTTATCTTTTTTAAATTGATAATGATCGGCTAAAGATTACTGATGTTTTATTATACACTGCTCAAAAAAAATAAAGGGAACACTCAAATAACACCTCCTAGACCTGAATGAATGAAATATTCTCATTGAATACTTTGTTCTGTACAAAGTTGAATGTGCTGACAACAAAATCACACAAAAATCATCAATGGAAATCAAATTTATTAACCAATGGAGGCCTGGATTTGGAGCCACACACAAAATTAAAGTGAAATGTTCCCTTTATTTTTTTGAGCAGTATACATAAACCTATCTTAACCCTTTTTGCTGTCACTGCTACATTAAAATAAATAAACGATTCCCAGCCTGGTGGGGCGACAAGTGAAGCCTGGTGGCCCGCCAGGCTTATAATATATATATAAACCCTGCTTTGCTACATATGATCAAGCTTTCACTAAAGGAATGTTGCTATTGCATTTTAGGCAACAAAATATTGATTCTTTTTTATTTAAAAAGGGAATTGAATTGTTTATTTGCATTTTCCTATATATTTCTAATATTACATTAAAAGGCTAAATAAAAAATCTGCAGAATGTGATAATTTTTGTATCCCATTAATCTCTGAGAATGTGTTCTTGGATTATGTTTATATTAGTTGAAAATGGTCTCAAAACAACAATGTTATCGTTTATTGCAATAATTTCTGGGTCAGTTTATCGTCCAGCATAATTTATTGTATCATCAGTGAAGACTCACACATAATTCATCTGAAGTTACGTCTACCATTGACCATTTGGGCGCAGCTTTGTGATTGGTCAGAGGTTTTCTGCCATGTTTTATCTTTCATCCAGAGCAGAAAAGTTCGGTTCGCTTCCTCTCTTTTCTCCCTAAAAAAAACCTCAGCCATCAATAAAGAGTGGGATCGATGGATGCAGAGATGAAATGAGTCGGGAAGAGAAAGTGAGGCCAGATTAGAACAGAGGAACCAACAGGCGAATGGAGACAGCGCATCTGTTAGTGGCTGGAGATCATGGCAGGCCAGAGACACTAAGGAGCTTACAGTTTTAATCACAATGGGACACTATGGCCATAGTGCAGCGCGGCATTACAGAAATGGGCCACCGCTCTCCACCATCAGCTCCACCGGACAGTCTGGGCTGTAATCTGTCCAGCGACATTATGCTCCTTAATCCAGCCCACGTGGAGCTTTCTGAACATCGCTGAGGTTTCTCTACAGCTCCATGATATCTGCGGCAGGACTGATGATCTGCAAGCAAAGCTGCTTTTCTAAATTCCTGAAGAGCAGCGCTGCAGATCTTCACATCAGTCAAGAGAGAAAAAACAACAATGGCGTAATCTTCCTAAGATGTTTGTGGACAGGCTGTGCAGTAAAATGGTTGATTCAGAGAAACGGAGATGAAAAAGGATGAAGGGGAGCGCGACATTAGCGTTAGCTTTACCCCCTTACACCCACCTTCCCCACCTGCCTGTCCGCCACCAGGCGCAGCTCTCACACCATGTGGCACACTTTCTCCCTCGCCTGCAGTCTGCTGCTGCTGCCTGTGTGTGGCGAGTGTGTGTGTGTCCTTCAACAAACTCTGCGCTGTCCTTCAGCTGAATCTGTTCAGACTGTCCCCACACTAAACTCCCAGCAGGCCCAGCCCATCAATACTTCATTCCCTGCTGCAGCACCATTTGCTGCACAGCGGAGGAACTTTATTTGTGTCGCACCTTTCGTACCCAAGGTGATTCCAAGCGATTTAAAATGTGTTGCATGAATTGAATTGCATGCACCGTTAGGCCTGTCATGGTAGGAAATTTACCTGGATGCCAAATTATAACAGAAGTTACTGCGATTAGGTTTAGTCTCAACTAGCAAGAGCAATTTTATTTACAGAGACTTCATAATTAATTTTATTTGTTGTTTCTATTGTTTTGTTTATTTATTTTGGATATAATCTTCCAGTTCCACTGTTAAATGTTCATTAGAATCAAAGCTTATTGATCTTTGAGGTTTGAAAATTGTCTCAAAACAACAATATTACCATTTATCGACAGGCATAGTTGGTAACTGAGGAAATGACAACTTGGAATTAAACCTAAAGCTAATATGATGCGATAAAACATTATTGTCCTTCTATGTGGAAATAAAACCAATCATCCAATCACAAAACTTGAGAAAACCTTGATCATTTCAAAAATAAATCAACATATCCGCCATATGGTATATTTAAAGACCTGAGCTTTTCACCTGTTTTTAGGATTTTTTTAGCTGCAGATGCATCTTTTGCCACAAATCATCAAGGATTAAATAAAATAATGCTTTTGTTGCGTTTTAGCCAACATAATATAGATTTTCTTATTTAAAAAGGGATTTTAATTATTCATTTGCATTTTCTTATGTGGCAATATTTGTATCCGATTAATCGCCAGAATAATCGATTAATCGGATACAAAATACTTAAAAAGTCCATGCATCGAAGGTTTCTGTGTGTTCATGTGAAGTTCAAGGAGGCGGAGAACCTGTCGAAGCGCGTGGCATCGATGGGAGAGGAGGCCAGGGAGTTCCTCCCCAGGGCGTACCTGGCGCTGGGCCTCAGCTTCAGCCTTCAGGCCTCTGAGGGTAAAGTCTCACCTGGTCCTCAGATGCCTGTGAATCTGTACGGATGGATGTTTGAATTTGGAGATTCTAACCTTTTGAGTGACTCGATTTGTTTTTGTTTTTCGTCTTCAGCCACTCTGTCAGCTGATCGGAATGAGTTCAACAAAAAAGCCCTGCAGGCATTAAACAAGTATGTGTTACTTGTTTTCATTCCTTTATTTGTTTGTCACTTCCTGTCATAATAAGCAATAAATCAATGAATCGCCATAAATTAAAGCAAGCTCAGTATGGTTTATGAAAACTGGATCAGTTCAGGAGCTGATGTTCAGGTGTTTGTAGAACATAAAAACTCTGCCTTTCCTCCACAGAGCCAATTCATTAGACCCACTGGACGCTCAGATTTCCATGTACCTGGCTCTCCAGCTGGCCCTCGTACGCCAGGTACAAGCAAGCCTTTAAGCAATGTCACATTGTTGCATTTTCATTACAAATGTGTGCAAAACTTTGTCAACACTCCATTAATGCCGAAAAAACACAATTGTGGAATTGTGAAGTTTCCATTAAATAAGAAACCGAATTAAATGACGTGTGAAAAAGTTTGTTCCTCAATAAGTCATTAAAAATATTCAGTGCCATCATCTTTCTACCACTTCCTGTTGTCTTCTTCAACATCTCTGCCAGTAGTAACATCCGCTTGTCGATCGTGTGATGCAGAAAAAAAACTTTCTATTGCAGTTTTACAATTTTTATCAACAAACAGGAGTTTTTTTTTAATTGTTGTGATTCCATTAAGCACATTTATTTTCAAAATGTCAAATTGAGCAATTATATAATGGAGACGCTGCTAATAGCTGCGTTTCTGGTGACCATAAAACTGAGCTAATTGAAAGTTTCAATAAAAAGTTTTGCCGCCAAGATGAGGTTGTTTTTCAATCATATCAAAATTGGATATTTTGCAAAACTGCGAAGGAAATACACGATCAACAAGTGGATTTTACTACTGGTGAAAACCACGAAGAAGACAGGAAGTGTAAGGAGGTTGATGGTTTCTTTTCAGTTTTTTAAACAAGCTTATCCACACGTAACTTTAATTTCTTATTTAATTCAAACACTGCAATTGCAAAGTTTGGTTTTTTCAACATTAGTAAAATATCAACAAAGATTTGCATTTGTAGCAGAAACGCAGCTACAGAGTCTGAAGTTTCACCTGAAAACCGTTTTGCTTTTCCAGGTGTCTGCAGCCATGGAGCCGCTACAAACGGCTTTGTCTCTGCGCGCCGATGACCTGCCGTCCCTCCACCTGCTGACCCTGCTGCTGAGCTCCCAGAAACATCACCGTCACGCCCTGGACACCCTCACCCTGGCCCTCAGCCAGCATCCGGACAACTTCAAGTAAAGCAAACTCCCAATCACACATCAAACAGAAAGAAAACCGCAGAGAAGAACATTTTTGTTATTTTTACGAGTGTTTGTGACAGAAAGCAGCTCCAGGGCGCGGCGCAGGGAGGGCCTGTCCTGACAGAGCGCTGGCTGTGGGGATTGGGTGTCTTGGCTGCACTATGGTGGAAACCAAGCGCACAAACACAGGCGCCGTCTCGACGCCTTATTTAGACGTGCCAGAGTGGGAAGCCTGCATTGCAGCACCGTTGCCCCTCATGCACCCTCACCCTTTCACCGCTGCAGCTCTGGCAACAATCCTACAGCCACTTCAGAGGGACGTGTCGCCGTGCATTGCAGGCATCGATTATTTTAGTAATATTGACAATTAATCAGTTAACCAGTCAAAAAAAGGCCACATTCTGCAGATTGTTCATTTAATCACCCAAGTCTTTTTCATACAATATTAGAAATAATACATTTAAAAAAATACAAATAAGAAATTCAGTTCCTTTTCACAATAAGAAAATCAATTTTTTTTTTTGTTTAAAATCCAATAACGTAGCATTCCTTTAGCATACGGTTGATCATTTGTAGCAAAGGATGCATCTGCAGGTGAATAACTAGTTCTGACATCAACATGTGAAAACTTTCTGCTCAACTTTACATCAACACAGTTTACGGCTGATCTGTTGACTCATTTTTGGATTAATTGATTAATAGCTAGATAGCAAAAGGTGACTTAATAGAACATATTTTTACAGAATTTGAACTAGGTGAAGCTAAAACTATGAAACTGGAGGAGTTCTGGGTAGAACATAAAACATTTTGATTAATTTCTGCTGAGTGTGTTATTCTTTCAGCAAACTGCCTTTTTATGAGTTTATATTCCAGTTAACAATTAATCGGTTACTAAATTAGTTGATGATTAATCGATTCATCACGATTAATTGTTTCAGGCTAATTAAAGTCTAAAAAGGTTTTGTGTAAAAGTAAAATACGGTTGAAATCTGACGAAATCCAGTGATTATTTTAAATTTACCAGTTTAAACACAGATATTCTGTGGAAAATGTTCCTCACAACAGAAACTTCAGAGAACTAGCCACGATTTGGTTTTGCTGTGAGCTGCTTTTGTAACATCATTATGTATTTTCTGTCGCAATCATTTCTTAATTTTTAATTTTTATTTGCTGTTGTTTTGTCGTTTTAGTTTATATTTTGTGTTTAAGTCACTAGAGGAGTTCTGGGTAGAACATATTAATAGACAAAGAATTTAATTTTTATCTTAAATGTAAAATGTATATATTTTTGTACAGTTTTGTCAGCAAATTAAATTTGAGTCTTTATACTCCAGTTAGCTATTAATCAATCACTAAATTAGATGATTATTTGAATAATCAATTAATCCGATTAATCATTTCAGCCGTACATCCACCTACCTTGTGTATGTGTTAGTTTATTGCAACATTTGCAACTATAACTGATTTCATAAGTAAAATAATGACAAAATCTGAAGGCGTTTCTCAATAAATGTTGTAAATTTTGCAGCATTATTACAGTATCTGTCTCTCTGGTGTATCGCAGAGCTGCAATAACACCAGGAATGTGCTCATTACCTGAGGAGGATGGACGTGTGCAATAAAACCTGCCAAGGCCGATTCTTTCACACTAATATGGCAGCATGTTGCATCATTCCTCTGATGTGCTTTCAGAGCGCTGAGAAGCGTTTCGTATCGCAGCCATTTGGGGTCAGTGTTGTCCTCCGCGGCCCCGGCACAAACAGATGGGTGATTGTCAAACATGCAAGTGGGAGAGAGATTGGTGGAGGGAGCAGAAAAACAAGAAAATTGATGAAATAACGAAGGACATCAGAGCCTGACAGGAAGCGTCGGAGAGGAAGGGAGTGGGTGGGCGCTTTTATAACCGCACAGGCCGATCCTTTTCGCTGCATGTACAGTCGGATGATGAAGTCTGTTCCCAGTCTGCCTGGATGCACAGTCACACACTCGGAGACGCGCACACACACATTTTACACCTCCTCGGTGGAGACACTTGACTGCTTTGACCCATTTAAGAGCTCTTTGCCGGGCTCGGCCAATCATGTCGCTCGCTGCACCAGGAATCCCCCATTGCCCCGGTAACCGTGAGGTCACGCTGGTAGAGCAGGCAGCGGTTGTCGCGTCAACCCGTTGTTACGGTTCTGCAAAAAAAAAAAAAAAAAGTTGAGTCAGAGGGAAGCAGGGACAGTGACATAACTGAGTCCGTAGTCGATGTCTGACTTGAAATGTTTTGTTTCATGACTTGCTTCACTTATAAAGTCATAAATTAAACTAAATTTTAAAAAAACATGAAATTTAGAACACAAATCATAAAGAAGACAAGATATGCCTTATCTTTTCTGCTGCATCAGGGTTTGACACCATAAACTCTTTTGATCACATTCATCAAACTGAAGGCCCGGGGGCCAAACGTGGCCCGCCGTAGCTGTTTATCTGGCCCTCTAGACTCCACATGCTAAAGCTAAATTAGGTCAACCAGTCCCTCCAGTTTTCTGTGATTCTGTGGAAATTCACATTAAAGTCAACAGATCACAGCATTTTTCATGGATACCTGCAAGTTTATTGCAAAAACTGTTTATGTGATGCCAACTCTCTCCTGTAGGAGGCAGTATTTCTAACTTTTACAACACTGCTGCCTCAGCTTTATTGGATGTCTTTTTTGTCATCAATATGCGTAACGTCGTACTTCAGTGCAAATATCTCAAAATTCCTTGCAAATATTTCAAAATCAGTGATTTTGATTGCAAAAAATTCCCCAAAACAATCGTAAAATCCTGGAGGGACGAACAACGTGAAGCATGTTCAATATTATTTAATTTTAAAACGTATTTATTAATGCAGACAGCTATATTGACATTTAACTGTTTATTAACGAGTTTTATCAATATAGTCATGATCTTGATTTGATCCGAGACTACTGTGAGTTTAACAGCTCTGCTGCTTAATGCAAGTCGCCAGTCAGCTCATTGCATTTACAATTAGATGTGTGAAGGACAATTTGTTGAAGTTCAAACTTGGCATCAGTGCAGAGAGGAAATTTACTTTGATTTATAGAGAAGGATTGAAGGGAGAAGAGTCGACCAAAATGGCCGCTGCATTTTCACACAAGGGATGTTCAATCAAATACGTTTAATCTTTTTTTATTGCAGTATATCTATAAATGTAAACCAGACATATATATTGGTATATGTTTAACAAAAAATATACCAACCGTCATTATCTGACAGGTTATAACCTGCACACCTGCAGCAGCAGCAGAATTACCGTTCCTGAAGATTTCCACAAATATTTAACAGAGTGTTTTGTTTCTTAGTCATATCATGCAATGTATTTTACTGGAGATAGACCAGCACAAAGTGCACATTATTGTCAAGTAGATGCAGATAAGACATTTAAATTTTTGACAATGTGGTTCTAACATGTAAATAAGTAACATCTGCTGTAGAAAACTATTTGTTTTTCTCCTCATCATTTTAGTTTCATAAGTCAGTGACACGGTTAGTGCTATAACACCAGTTCATTGCTTAATCTCAGTGTAAAAGCATCTGTTCTGTAAATACCAAGGATCCCAGCAGAAGGTCAGGGAGAAATATATTGAGAAGACGTAATACTCGCCCTGAATACACTGTGAAACATGGTGGTGATACCATTATGCTGTGGGAATGGTTTTCTTCAGCACGGACAGAGTCGATGGGAAAAGGGAGTGAAATACAAGACGATCCCAGAATAAAACTTCTTAAAACCTGAACAGAGGCTCAGTTAAGGTCAGGGAGTTTCCACACCTGATAGTTCAGTAGATTCGGTTCGATTGGAGCCCAAATTCCAACGTCTGTTACATTTTCAGCTGCTGTGGTTTGCTTTCACACCACATTGTGTCAAATGATCCACACGAATTGAAAAACGTGTTCCCCTCCTCACCTGTGGTGGCGCTGCGCCAAGAACCACTGAACTTGCCGACACAAACTTCTGAAGACACTGAGCGCAAGTTCCTTCCTCATGAAAAGAAACAAAAACTGAGTGGTGTCTTTTTTTCACAGTTGTAGGATTTCTCTTTTGTCTTTGGTAAAAGACCATGAACCATTTCTCTCGCTAGCATTAGACTAGCACGTTTGTCTTGGTTGTAATTTCCCAGAATGCCTTGCGTTGTAGTCCACTTCCTGCTTTTGTAGCGGTTTCCTGATAATCTATGAGAAATGTGTCACCTCTTCCTTCTCCCAGTGCTAACAAGAAACAACCAATCAGATGCAGGAGGTGGGTCTTAGTGCTGTCAATCACAATCTTGTGGCGCTGCTCATCCCCTCTGTCCGCACTCTTTACTCTCTGCTGCCGCTGCAGCTTTTCCCTATCAACAGATCCTATTGCAAATGCTAATTATAGTTAAAAAGGTTTTCCTGTGACAGTAATATATTTCTCCGCCATTAGCCCATTTAACAGCGACTACATGAGGTTGATTGACAGCACTAAGACCCGCCTCCTGACTCTGATTGGCTGTTGTTGGTCAGGCATTTCTTCAGACGGTAATTATACCTCAGAGAGGAAGTGGAGGAGAGTTGTCTCATCATGACATGGAGACAGTTTTACCAAATATGTAAAAACAATATATTTTATAAAAACTGCATACAGCAGCTTTAAAGTTCTGCAGAGAATCAATGTCAGGCCTTGAAAACTGATCTTCTCAGACAGTGTTCTGCCTAAATAAAAAACCAGTGCACTGTTTAAATTAGAATGATGAAACACGGAGCATCTATTCAGTAAAGCTTTTTTGATTTCATACTCAAACCTCACCGCTGCGGCCCGCTGAGCCGAGGCCCGGCTGCAGAGCTCAAAGTCGGAATACAAGACTCCCGACAGAGACGGAGGGAGACGATGAAAGGAGGTGTTTTCTCAGCAGGAGGCCCATAGAATATCATCGGCTCTGGATGTGTGAGAGATCAAAGCTGGCTCTGACTGGTGTGCGTTTCATATGTGCATGCTTTCACTTGTGTGGGTGCGAGTGCGCGAACATTTGTCCATTCTTGCACATGCATGTTGTGTGTGTGTGTTTTTGTGTTGAATGTGTGCACATGGATGTGTGTGACTCTTGTTAGCCACTGGCTCTCTGCACCACAGTGAACTGTCAGCTCGCTGTAGCATACCAAATTTCTGCTTCCTCGTTTTCTCCCACATCCTCAACCCCCGGCTTCTACCTTCTTCTGTATCCGCTGCGTCCAATCGCTCTCCGGTCTTTTTTTTTCTCACCCTCCTTGCACACACTTTATCTCTCTCTCTCTCTTAATTTCTTCCTTTCTTTGAAATTAGAATCACAGAATAAACAAGCATTCATTTGAGTGAGTGTCACAGTTTATATACTAAAGATCCAGCTTTCATTTTAGGTGTTGCATGTCTTACTGTACGTCAGGTTGCAATCTGAAAGCATATCTGCACAGGCCAGTGTGTGTGTGTGTGCGCGCACGCGTGTGTGTGTTATATATGCACGTGTGCGTTCCTGTGCTTGTGCATATATTTACGCTTGTCGTACATCTGCAGTTTTGTGTTCACGCCTCATGTGCTTCCAGAGACTACGCTCTCTGATCTGTGGGAGTGCGGAATGAGTAATATAGTAGATGTACTACTTTTTTTTTTTCCAGGAGGGAACATCATTAGCTATTTTTATGTGTGGAGTTTACGCTGGCACTCACCACTCTCAGCACTCCGACGCCGAGCGTTTACTCAGAGCTGCGCCGCTCTGCACACGACCGGCTCCGTCCCAGGAGGCAGGAAAATGACAGGCTGTGTAATCCGCTGTGCAGTTTCAAGTGTTGTAATCTTGGTGAAATCTATCTTTTCTGATGCTGCCTTGGAAAACACAGATTGTACTGAGGCACAGAAGAGCAGGGTGGAATCGTTTCTATCCTATTATCAGTCATCTCATAGAAAATAGAGGATTTTCTGAATAAATCCATCAGTTGGTTCTTCCAGCTTATTCTTGCAGGGTCACAAGTTGCCAGTTCACCTCAGGGCAACAGAGAGATGCAACAACCATGCACACACACTCACACACCTAAGGACAGTTTGTAGAAAGCAATTAACCCATCACATGTGAAAGAGAGAACAAACAGGCTGGGATTCAAACCCACAACCTTCTTGCTGCAAGGCAGCAGTGCTGCAAACTGTGGTGCCCATTATGTTTATTTCAAACAACTTGTAGTTCTGAATGTTTGTAAATCAGGCCTTCCTGCTAAATATAGCAAAATATTTAGTTTGCAGCTAATTATTTAATTAGCAAGCATTTGGTTAGCTAGTTAAACATTTTATTTTTAGCTATGTATCTTGTTAGCAAGCTAGCAAGTTTTGCTAGTGGCTACACTTGGAATTAGCAAGCTGAATGTTTAGTTTGTAGCTATAAATTCAGCTAGCAAGCAAGCATTTGTTTGGCAAGCTAAATATTTAGTTTGTAGTTATCAATTTTGTTAGCAAGTTAAATATTTTTGCTTGTGGCTAAATATTTAATTAGAAAGCTAAATGTTTGGATTGTGCTCAACACTGTGACATTTATGAATGATTAACATGGTGAAAATAAAACTTTGCCAAACGATCACTTTTTTTCTTTTATGACAGGCTAAATAACCCAAATAATTGCTGTTATTTTTTGTCAGTGTAAGTTTATAACTGTCACTTCACATAAATCAAACACACTAATGGTTGCATATTAAATGAAAGAACGTGTAGTTGTAGTTAGGTTGTAGTTTTTGACCCGGTTTAAGCTTTGAACTCATTCACCAAATTCCTGCTGTTGAAATCCATTGAGAAAGAACAGTTCAGTTCAGATACATCATTAAATAACTCAAGCATAAGCTAAACTCTTGGTATTTCTTTTTTACCAACTAATACTAATCTAAGCTTAGAAGGATTTCTCATGTCGTACACCGAGGTGACAAAGAGAGAATCGGTTTTATTGTGCGCAGGAAATGCGGCAGCATCCGCAGCTCCTGTCACCTGGATGAGCCGCCGCCATGCTGCTCAAAGCTCCGTCACACCGACACCCACCATCACACAGACGCCCGCTCCGGTGAACTCCTGCTGGCAGCCGTATCCTTAACACAGCCTCCCTCTGCACCACTTGTCATCTGTGTGCCAGCAAATCCAGCCTCCTTCCTCCCACACACACCATCACACACACTCTGTACACCTCTTCTGCACACAAATCCCTCCGTCTTTTAATCCCGTTTTTATTTTGTCTTTTCACCAGTTGGTACCAAAACCAGTTTCTCCATCATTGATCCCCATCCTTCAGTCTTATGGGTGATTGATGTCCATGACGGACTGCGTCCTCTGAGATCCCCTTCTGGCAATTACCCACACACACTCAGAGAAGTTCACATCAGAGACTCCCACATCACTTAACCAGTTGTCTTCAGCTAAAAGGGCGAAGCGGAAACACTCTGCTGCTTCTCAGCACACACACACACACACACACACACACACACACACACACACACACACACACACACAGAAACCCTTTCAGAGCTCATTGCTGACCAGCTTTCTCTTCCATTTGGCTTCATTGATCCAGATATCGGCGATAATTCAGAAGCTCTTAATGCGGCCGGAGTTTTTCTTCGCCGTTTCATGAGATAACGATCCTCATTTCTTGGAAATCTATCTGCGTCGCCCTCTGGTTGTTTTCAAATCATTTTACTGTTTAATTTGCCAACAATAGTAAAAGCAGCCGTTGCTGCTGGTACAAAACCTCGTAAAAGTAATCACACCCTTTAAACGTTTTCACGTTTTCTCAAGATCACAAACTCTACAGCTGCAGCGCGACTTTTATTTAAAAAAATGTTTGGTGCACATTTGTTAAAATTGTCATTATATCATGATGCGTTTTAAAAATATATACAAAAAAAAACATTTTTAAAAATAAATTTAAATTCCCTGCTGTTTGTATTTTCCTTTGAACTTTGACCTCCTTGCCAAAGAAAAATATATTTGTGTAGGTCTGTTTTATTTTTTTTAAATTATTATTATTATTTTTTGCAACCACAGTGTTTGATTTTTATTTGGTAATTTTCATTATTACTAATTATTTAACTTATAACAAGTCAAAACTGTGAAATAATCTTCTAATGGAACAAGTAACTATTTCCCAATTTAACGAGTTATTTACGTAAAACAAGCCTCTACATCTTCCTGAAAAGTTACTTGTAAGTTAGTTTTGTTTCATTTCAAGCGTCTAGAGAAACTAGACCAAAACACTTGGTAAGACTTTGTGTTTTTGCAGTGTGAGGGACACAATGAAACCTAAAAACACCAGTGTGAATTCAAACTAACTGAGATGCTCGTTGCGGTTTAGTTTGCTGCTGACGAAGGTGAAGCTGGAAGAGGCCATGTTGGGACCCGCTGCAGCCCTGCAGACCTGCGAGGAGATGCTGCAGCGCTGGCAGAGCCAGTATGACGTCAGCCGCTCCAGGTAAACCTGCAGATATGAGCCGCCGCTGCTGCTTTGCTTATCACACGACAGTCTGGTGTTTTAGTGCAGAGAGGAAAGCGAAGCGTCTCAGTTTGGACCCAGACATAATGGCTGCTGTCACTGCTGCCTTGTTTAGTTTTATTGAATTATAACTTTAATTGTTGTTCCTGAGGATTTCCCACTCTGCGCTGATATTAGATCATCAGTGTTACTTTACTGCCCACTCTGTGATTCACTTGATATGATGATGAATCATTTTTCAGAGGTGTCACTTTCTATCTATTCATCATTTGAAGACTTTAATAGTTCAACACACGTGCAGTACGTAATGTTATATAACACTTAAAGCAGAACTGTTGAAGTCTTTTTCACTTTTTGTTGAATGTTTGGCTACAATTAGTAGCTGGCTGCTTCATGATGGATCTCACTTTAATTCAGATTTGTTCGTTACATTTGGCAGTGAGACGGATGACAGCAGCAGCATACCGATGGCTGAGAGGTCAGAGGTCAGCCCTGTTGTCAGCAAGCCCTCCATCCACCTCAACCTCCCGGACTTCCAGGACGCCTCCACAGGTCTGCTTTCTTCATTCAAAACCTGATTTATACATTCATTTATCGTTTAAATGAGTCCAACAGCAGAATTATCCCACTGCTGACTAATGTTAAATATAGAGCAGTAAAATGATTGTGATTGCCTCCTGAATGGTTAGGAGCCTTTTTATTCTTTTATTGTATTCATTTTCTTTTTTTATGCAATTTGGACTTTGAGTCTGTAATAAAATATATCAATCTATTTAAAATCCTGGATTTTACAGGATTTCCACGTCTAACCCGTTTTAGATTAAAACTGTTTAAATAAAAGTGATGAATCCGACCTCTGACCCGTATTTCAGTCAGGATCAAACAGGAAATCCATCAAAATCAGAAGATCTGCTGGCATTTTTCTATCCGACTTTATGAACAAGCGTATCCCGTTGTGAATGCTCAGGCTAGGCACATTTAGCAGAAAGTACATGCGATTGACTGACAGCGCTAAGCCCCGCCTCCTGACTCTTATTGGTTGTTTTTGGTTGGGAGCGATCCATTTCTTCAGGCGCCAATAAAAGCTCAAAGGAGGTGGAGGAGATCTTATTTTTCACAATTTGTCTCCCTTATAACAAACTGTCACAACATGATAACAAATATGTAAAAAATATATTTGTAAAAGTTTTATACTGCAGCTTTAATGATAAAATTTGTTAAATCGAGTGAATAAAGTGACATTTTGTGAAAGACCCAACCTCTAACTGTCCCTCAGTTGCAACCAGCAGTGGATGGGTTAGTCTGTGTTAAAGCTTCGCCTCATAACCGACCGTTTAAAGCGTCCTCTCCTCCTCTCCTAGGATCCCTCAGCCCTCCGTCGGTGGCGGTGTCCCGTCTGGAGGCGGCGCTGTCGGAGGTATCGGACCTGAGCTCCACCCGGCGCCAGGGCCCCACGTACATCTGGGCCACTCTGGAGCGCATCTGGCTGCAGGCTGGTAGGACTTCACAGCACGTGACCCGGAGCCACGGTTTCAGGCCCCTTCGCTCTGGGATTTCCTGGAAAATTTGATTTTCAAACTTCCCAGAACGAAATGCGCCATCCCACCCAAACACCATTCAGAGCTCAACTCCTGGTGAGCCGAACGTTAAAAATAAACGGGCTAATAAGAGTTTATTTAAATGCCAACTCCCTGCAATTAGATTATACTTTTTTCCCTGTAACCGTGGTAACCGTAATAAAATGATGATGTCAGAGAGTTAAATACAGCTACTTTCAAATGAATAAGAATCAAGAAATTGTAGTAATTTCAAAAAGTGAAACTCCTGTTTTATGTAAATTCATGTGCACTGCAAAAACACAAAATCCTACCAAGTATTTTTTAGTTTCTGTTGCTAAGTAGACGTCAGCTGATCAAATTAAAGAGAAAGCAAAATGTGTAATTTGTTCAAAGACAATTAATATTTCCCATTCCATTTCTAATCTAAAAATAAAGTCTCAATGTGCATCGGCCACCTGTTCCCGCAAGCCGCACGCAAACGGCCCACGGGCCGCACTTTGGACACCCCTGTGTTAAACAGTGGTGCCTTGGACAATGGCTCTTTCATGGAATTGCTTTCTGAATTAAACAGATAGACTTCGCTGTGTGGTGCAGCTGCACTGAAAAAAGGCCATCAGATGCAAAACTAAACGATTCTAGTAATCCTATTAACTCATAAGATCATTTATATCATTACTGTGTTGCATAATGTTGAACATAAACTAGATTACGCCTCGTTCTGGATGCAGGATTTCTCCTCCCCTAGACGCTCTCTGGCTTTTCTCAAAAAACAAACAAGTCGTCTGAGTGAATTTTTGATGCTGCAGTGCGCACAGCAACAAAAAAAAAGTGTGCTCACGTTGCATCAAGTGCATAAACAATGTCCTACTCCCCTGAGAGGCTGAAATTAAATTGAGCATATAAACAGGTCAGTAAGTTGTGTAAGACTCTGAGGCTGCACAGCTTTCACTGCTACGGCTGCACAGTTTGCTTTTCATCTGCCTGAAAAGAGAAACTGAATGGTTTCAGACAGAAACAAGGTTTTCTAGGCCCCAACACAAAGACATCGTCCATTTCTGGTGTCATCTTTGTTGGGAATACATGAATATATCAAAATATAATCAAATAGAGAGAATTTTATGAGAAAGAAGCATTTGGAGGTTCACCAGAGTAGCCAAAAAAGTAAATATAGCTGTAACTTCATATTTCTACTCAAATAAAAGTAAAAAGAAGCCATCCAAGAAATTACTCAAAAGTTTACTCAAGTACTGAGTAACTGACCAAATTATTGATAATTTAATATTTAAAAATTACATCATCAGATAAGAAAAGATAAAATATAAAGCAGAAATTGTGATATTTTAAGGACCAGAATGACAATAATTTATAAAAGTAACAAAAAATGATCAAAATCAGGTAAAAGAACATTTTTCCAAATCAATTTTTATCAATAATAAACTGATTAAACTTTAACAGAAACTGCAGATGTGAGTCTGTCTGGTGAATTTCTGGTTGAAACATGTTTGTTTTTCAATCAGTGGGTAGAAAATCCAGAAGTTTAATAAAATAAAAGTAGAAATACTTCATAATAAAATTACTCAAGTAAAAATCAAACATACAAATACTCCGAAAAGTACTTTTTTTTTTTTTTTTTCAAAAAATGTTACTGAAGTAATGTAGTTTCTACCTAACTCTGGTTATACTGAAGTCCATATGAGACACATCAGGAAGAAAAATGCTTATGCAAGCACTGATCTGGTAGCTTTTTTAATTTAAAGAGCTCAGGTGAGGAGCGGGAAAATACCTTACGTAACCAGATCCAAATCATCCTGACGTTATGCACCGGAACCCCGAGGCTGGGAGCAGACATCCCACAGAGCTAGCATGCATTAAGTGTTTCCCATCTGTGCATCTGTGAGGCACAGGTAAACAAACAAAGCATACACACACATACACACACACACGGCAGACGACGCTGTCAGTGTTTACTCCACTCAGCTTCCACATCAGGTTCCTCTGGGTCTGGGCCGATGATGTCCAGTGTCTGAACCGCCTGGCAGCTCGTTGGCCGGCGGGTCCGCTGCAGGACGCCTCGTCGGCCATCTTGGAGAGGGAAGAACCTGTGGTCAGTCCGCTGGGTTTGTGTGTCTGGGGTTTGTCTGAGGGCAGGGAGGCCCTTCATATGGGATGGCCATATTTAGGCAGGAGCTCCGTTCGCTGCACTCGGCCTCCGTTTCCTTCCTCAACCAAACAGTTCGTCGAGTTTCTGAGGTTTGATTCTCTGATCTGCTTGTTTGTCTCTAAGGAGACAAAACAGACAAATTTACTAATGGAGTTTCTTCTTCTTCTGTTCTCTCCCTCCGTCATCAACCTACAGCAGCAACCACCCATCCATCCATTATCCATCCATCATCCATCCATTCATCCATCCATTCATCCATCCATTCATCTGTCCATCCATCTGTCTGTCTATCATCCATCCATCCATCCATCCATCCATCCATCCATCCATCCATCCATCCTTCCAGTATTTTTTAGCATCATTTCAAGAATTTAAACTGAACTTTTGTTTTGACTCTTTAAAGTTTGTCTTAGAAACAATGGAATCTCTCTCTTTCTCTCTCTCCCTTTGTCCCCCTCCTCATCTCTCTATCCTCGCTCCGTTTTGTTCTGACCCGTCTCCCTCGGTCTCCTGTCCCTCCTCTCTCTCTCCTCCTGTAGGGGAGCTGTTCATGGCGGACGGCCGGCTCAAGGAGGCCCAGTTCTGCATCACGGAGGCCAGCTCTCTGTCCCCCAACTCCCACTCGGTTCTCCTGCAGCGGGGCCGCCTG